ATAGTCATGTATGAATTTAGGAAAATTTGTTTTAATTTATAGAAACACCATAAGAAAAAAAAAGTGAAGTATTTTCTAGTTTAAAAGTAAATTGGAGAAGCATCATTTATCTTTCTAGTTGATGGGTACCAGTTCAACAATATGGGTTGAATGAGTCGCATTGTTAAGACAATATTGAAATCAAAACTCAAATTGGAATATTAGGGCATGTAACTAGGGATGCAACTTAGGCTGGGTTAGCCTGAACCCAGATTAGAAAATTAGGGGAGGGTTGGGTTGGGTTAGGGTTGAGGCCTTGACTAACCTAATTTAATCTGACTTAATTTCATATCTGCATGTATAAATATTATATAAATATCTATTGGGCAAATTTCTTAARCTACCTTTGTTTAGTTAATTGGCAAACTATACCTTTACTATTTAACTATTGTCTTAAATCACCTCTATTGTTTCTGATAATTATCATCGTCGTAAACTTCACTTTAGTACCCTAAACTTTGGGGGTAGTGTCAAGCTAGTACCCAAACTTCCAAACGTGTCGCTAAAGTAACTAACTTTCAAAAAGTGTCAGGTTGGTCCATATTGTTAATCAACTGTCAATTATCTGTTGAAAATGTCAAAACTATCATTCAAAAGAAGACATTGTTCATTGTCTTCTACCTTGAGACTAAACCGGTTAAGGTGTTTGAGATTTTAGACTAATGAAATCATTACCTTCTACATTTAGATCTGAAACACATTCTTGTCTAGTTATTTCTTTGCTTTCAGTTATTGTTTCTCCCTATCATATTGCATATTTTTTCTCTTTTTCTTTGAAGATAACAGGTTCAGTCTAAAGGTAGAAGACAAATGAACAATGTCTTTTTTTGAAGGGTAGTTTTGGCATTTTCAACAAATAACTGACGGTCGGCTAATAATAGGGACCAACTTGACACTTTTTGAAAGTTTAGGTATTGTAGTGACGCGTTTGAAAGTTTGGGTACTAAATTAACACTACCCCCAAAGTTTAGGGTACTAAAGTGAATTTTTCCCTAAATTGTAATGGAACATATGAAATGTCCATTTTTCCCTTAAGTTGCAATAGCATATCTGTAATGCCTCCCCCTTTCCTTCATTCTCTCTCTTGCTCTCTCTATCTCTCCTCTCATTTAGTTATCTTTTTTTTGTCTTTGTTTCGGATTCCTGTAACAACTAGGCAGCTATGGTGCTGATCTTGGAGAAAGCAAGGGCAGTCTTGGAGAAACCATGACCATTGCCTCCACTGATCTCATCGCTGCAACTCGGTGATTATTTGCAGAGGGCAAGGGCAACCGATCTCATCGAACCTGATGAGATTGTGTAGGTGGCAGCTTATGACCACTCCCACTTCCTAAGTTTTTAGGTGTGATGTTCAATCTCACCTAAAGGGCTGATTGAACATGGTAGAAATCCCCGGTGGCGATGAACTGGCAGAAGATGGATGCGATGAATACATAGCATCAACATGATGCATATTTACTAATGAAATTAAACCCAATCCTTGAGAGTTCAAGCATTTACAAAGTTTCTATGTAAAATAAAGGTAACTATTTTGGTTTATGGATGTTTGCAAAAACCTTAGAACCACACCATTGTATTTCCTTGATACCGTCCCATAACTTCTTTGCCATGATGCATATTTAGTAATTAGGAGTAAAATTTATCTGGATATTTTTTTTAATTTATTTCTTTTTTGTAAGTAGATGGTTTTGCAGACTTTGAAATCTTTAGGCATTTATAGAGAGTTAGGGTCTGTTCGTTTCCTCTTAACTCTTATCTCTTAAGAGGAATCTTTTAATTTTAAGAGAAAAATGATTGTTCGTTTCCTCTTATCTTTTATCTCTTAAAGTGCAATTATACAACCTTTTTTTTCCAATGATACCCTCAAAAAGACAAACAAAAACTCTCATATATGGGGTCAAAATGAATATTTGATAATTTTTAGAATTCAAAATTCATAATTTAGAACAACATTCTCTACATTCAAAATTCAGAGGAAAGAAAAGCTCACCAATACCAATATACCTCTTAATGTAATTATTGTACTTTTAGATGTTAGACTTCAGAGCAAACGAGCATGCCCTACGTTTGGTCTTCTCTTAGTTCTTGATGGTAGAATTTGGGGTGGGTGAGGGATCTCGTCGATAGTCTCGAGTACATTCACAACAGCATTGGCTTAAAAGTGTGTTTCGTTCATAACCACATCAAGAGTAGTAACGTGATCATCACGGATCCTCCGCTCAACGCCAGAATCCACTACTTCGGTACTATTGAACTGTGTGGAGAAATCCCCAAAGACAATCCAAAAGAAAAAGAGCGGGGAGATTATGGAGGAGAAACCATCGTCAAAATATAAAGGATCAAACAATCGGGTGATGAAAATCGAAGGGACGAGAGGGTACATGGCGCCAGAAAGGGACAAGGGGGTGTCAGTGTTGGTGTTCTGCCACTACATCGAGAGGAAGTGGATAAGGGTAATATTGAGGTTTAAAAAAAATTTAAACATCGTGGTGTCACATTGTGTGTATCGCTACAATACGGTACGTACGTATCGCACCGTATCGATTGATACAGACCAATACATGCGATACACAAATATGCACGCAACTTCTATCCTAAAAAAACATTGCATCTAACGCATTTCTAACCCAAGTCTTACGATTTAGAATGGTTAGCAATTTAAGCCACTAAGCCACCTTTTACTTTGTGATGATAAATGAAATACAACAATTTGTCTTATCGTTATTGTAAACATACAATCTAAATAAATGTCACATCTTTATATTCAACGGTTCCAACTTAAAATTAAATAGAATAATATTAAAATTTAATATTTATATATATATAAATAAAATAAATAATCTATCAATTTTATATTTATACCGAAAATTGATTTTTTTACTTAATAAATTATACAAATAAAAATACTAATAATAGAATAATTATTTTAGTATTTAAAATTCATACATTTGTACTTAAAATTCATATATTATATAATTTTTATAAATTATTAATTGATATTTTAATTTACACTAAATAATAACATATTTATTATTTATAAAAAATAAAAATATTGTTTACAAAATATTCAAGCATATAATATTATATTGAATCTATTAAATACACTAATTTAAATTTATATTAAAATGATTTAATTATTTCAGAAAAAAATTATTGAAATAAAAGTGTTAATAATGGAATAATCATTTTAGTAATTAAAAATTATGATTTTGCAATATTATATGCTTTTACAAATTTTAATATATAGATATGAAATATTTTAAGTTAACATTATATATTTTATAAATTATCAATTGATATTTTGATTAACATTTTATAATAACATATTTATTATTTACAAAAATAAATATATTGTTTATCAAACATTTCAAAATTTAATATTTGGTTGACTTTTTTCTRCTAATATTGAAAAGTAAAAATATTAAAATAGAAAATATTTGATATAGTAATTAAAATATAATAGCATTTGTTTGTGTCTTGGAATTAAATAGAATATAACATAATAATGGTTTTATGCATGCATTAATTTGTAATGATCTATATGATGTGAGTCTTAGACTCAATTTGGGAGGAGTACAAATACAAATTTGTACAGTACAAATACAAGTAAAATAATACAAAATATAAGGTTTTGCACTCTAGATAATTGCATTTGAACTCCTTCCAAATCGAGCCTTAGACTCCTGATTGATGGATTATCAATAAAGTTGTATGATATCTATGCATTCCAAAATATTAATTGTAATATATTCCTTTATATATACCATTAAAATATACATTTCTTATGTATTTATATCTTATTTGTGGCTATTTTGATTTTAAAGCTAGTGTAATTGATATATTTACGAAATTTGTATCTATTTTTAGTGTATCCATGTGTTTTCATATCTTTCGTTTGTATCAATGCATTTTCAAAGCGTATCTGTATCCGTATTCGTATCCAAGGTATCTGATACGATACCTGATACCGATACTTTGATCCTTGGGGGTGGTTTAAGACAATAGTTAAACAATGAGAGTACAGTTTGTTAATTAGTTAAACAGTAGGGATAGCTTAAGAAATTTTCCCATATGTATGTATGTATGTATGTATGTATGTATGTATGTATGTATGCATATGCAACTGAGCATCCATAAATATATATATTTATGTATTTATATATTTTTTATTGTAAGCATTTATGTATTTATGTATGCATTAAATACATATTTATCTATCTATACATGTATGTATATATATTGTATGTCAAAAATTTTAAGTTTAAACACAAATTTTTCCCCAAAACATGATAGTCATGTTCTTTCACACAAAAATGCTGATGTTGAATTAACATAAACCCTAGAGTTTAAGAAATAAATGCATTTAACAGAAGTAGAGAAATCGGGCCAACCCGAGACCAACCCAACCTAAAGTTTTAGGGTTGGGATTAGGGTTGACCTCAACCCGACATAACCCAGCCTGACTTGCACACTTGCATGTAACTTAAAATTCATATGAATGTAAATGCAACGTAAGAGAAAGAGAGAGAGATAGAGAGGAATAATTGAAGAAGAAGAAAAAAAGAAGAAGGGAGGTTTCCTAGTTACCGACTAGACGCAGGCTGTCTCTCTATCTCTCTACCCCTCTTTAGTCTTTAGTCTCATCTTACCTTCGATTGCTTGATCGACTGATTGGTCAATCAATTTGAGTATCTAATTTATTTTAATAAATAGAAATTATGACATAAAAGTTGATATTAAAAATTGGCACAAACAATATTCTCGTAGATTAGGTTGAACAGTTCAACAATTTGAACATCCTTGGTTCCTTGCATATGGGGTTTTGACTATGTCAACAGGTTTTCGGATTAAACCAGATCGTCTGGCCTCCAGCTCCAAGTGACAGGTTGAACGGTTCAACCGTTTAGCTCAACAACGGGTTGAAAAACTTTAGTCTAATGATCTGGGAAGTCATAGACAAGTAGAACAAAATAAAAGGTGAAACTTTAATTTTATGCCAATCAGGCATATTGTGTCATAGCATGAAGGATACAATTCACATGGTCTTTTTTCTTTCATGGGAGCACTCCCGTCTGTCATCACTCAAACATAAGTTTACTCTAGGCCTCTAGCATAAAATTGGGGAATATGGTTTCTAATAACTCTTTTCATCTCTCAAAATCCCTATTGTCCATGAAAATCATTCAAAAATTTTGGATCTGATGGTATGAAAGGAAATAATTATTGTCTTGTCAATATGTCATTAACCAATTTCTCCAAGGGAATTGAATGTGCAGCCAATTTCCCTCTCATATGTTCAAACAACCTTGAAGCATCATCTGTTCTACCAATATTAATCATTCCATTAATCAATGTATTAAAGCTAACCAAATCTGGCTTGCACCCATTCCTGAACATTGCCAAAATAAGCCTACATGCTTCATCAACTTCACCTATATTACACAATCCATCCAAGAGGCAATTGTATGTGATCACATCAGGTGATAAGCGCTGCTCGGTTTCCATCTGATTCACAAGCTTGAATGCCTCTGACACCTTCTCCTCCCTGCCAAGCCAATGAACCAATATATTATAAGTCACAACCGAGGCCTCAATCTTCCTCTCTTTCATTAGGTTGAAGACTTCCCAAGCTTTCTGACCTCTTCCATGCTTATAAAGCATCTGAATTACAATGTTCATGGTAATTTCATCTGGTTCCTTTAGTCCCAGGAAAACCCCATAAGCTTCTTCCCACCTACCAACTTCATCTAACCACTTAATCAACTTATTCCATGTACAAGTATCAACTGTAACACATGACTTGTTGATTCTCTTAACCAAATCAATTACTTCAAAAACCTTACCCTGCTTAATAAGCCCATATATACAAATCCTATAACTGCTTTCACTAGCTTCAATACCACTTCTACTCATCCACTTCAAGAAGACATATGCCTGTAAACCTTCACCTATATCACTATAGTATTTGATGAACAAGTTAAAACTGCACAAATCAGGGATGCACCCCAGAACCATCATCCTACCAAGAACCCCCAAAGCCTCTTTAATCTGTCCGAGGTCCAAATAAGCTTTGATAATTGTGTTATATACATAGGTATTGGGTTTGATGGTTCTGCTCTTCTCAATACATTCTAAGACCAAAATGGCTTCATCAATTTTCTTTGTGGCACATTGTGATTTCACCAGTGAACTATATGTTACAACATCTGGGTTGATTCCATCCGATTTCATCTTCGACCAAAGTTCTTGAACATGTTCTTCATGACCAGCTTCTCCAAGTTTGTCAATCAGGGTATTATAGCAATAGGTATCAGGTTTGCAATCATAACTGGGCATTTCATGAAGGAGATGGAATGCTTGGTCAACCATTTTGAAGTCAATAAGGATCCGAATGATGACAGTGAAGGAAATTATATCTGGTTGGTGTGTTTCTCTCATTTTGTTGAACAGCTCCAAGGCTTCAGCAGCATGACCGGAATCACCAAGGAATTTGATGAGGATTGTGTAGGCCACAATGTCAGCGAAGGGGCCAAGTTTGAAGATTTGTGCAAGGACTTGCATGGTTGCAGGATTTGTAGTCATTGGAAAGAAATTTGTAGGCCTCTGTCGAAATTTAAAAGGAGCAGTTGATTTGGTTATGACTGAATGAGTTCTGGTGCTTGGCAAGGATTTGGTTGGTTTTGGCGGGAATTTGGGGTATCCCATTGGTTTGGTTGAAATTGGATGAATCCCTCTGAGCGAGCAATCTGAATTGGTGGATGATTCAGTTGAGAAAATGCGAGTGTTCCCATGAATGATTTTTTGTATAGAAGATGGGTCGGTTGAGATTGGACGGATGCTCTTTGGCGGGAAACTGGGGTCATTTGGAGCAATGGTTGAAACTAGATGAAGGCTTCTAGGGTTGAGCTTTGACAAGTTTGGGGAATAAAATGAAAGCACATTACTTGTTTCTGGCTGAATTTTCAGGAGTTCTAAAGAAGATAACAATGGAGATTTAGAGTGATACAACTCTACCATTTCATTTCATTCCTCCATATAAATCCCACCACAAATTAATTCAAGAAGAAGTTGAACAAGATTCAGATATTTTGGGGAAAGATTTCTTCAGAACATGAAAAGCTGAAGTCCAGTTGCACAAATATAGACAAATGTGAAGAAGACGGAATAAGTAGAGTGGAGTGCCAGTCTGTTGCTGCTTACCTTTCTATTTCTGCAAGATGCGGTTGGCCTCTGAGCTTCTGATTTTCTGCTAAAACTGGATGTGAAATGAAACACTGGCCGGGCATGGCCGTTGGAGAACACTCCTCCATCAACATTATCCATATTGAAAATTTTAAATCTCCGGAGCCACCCATCCAGCCTACGCTACAAGACAACTAGGCATCTTCCCTTATCTGCTCCTCCTCGCTCAGTCATTTGGACCATGGATAGCACCGGAATGGGGTCTGTTTCAGTTCGCTTCTGACTTCTGAGTAAGGATTGGGCCAATGCTGCTCGACCGTCACCCCACTCGAACCTATGCTATGATAGAGACCGAGAACCAAAAAGTGAGAGTAAGAGGGCCCAATCAAGGGATTGGATTGTATGCAGCATCCATCGATCTGAGTTTTGGGAGGTTCAGTAAACCTTATTAATCGAATTCATACGGTAGTAGGTTTTAATCTCGGGACAGGTTTCATAGTTATTGCTTCAAGAACCTCTTGATTCTTGATTCAGACCAATTCCTTAACCTTGAGAGGACGGACGGACTTGATAGTAGGATTTTTTATGTCCAGATCAGATTTCACGCTTTATATGAGGGCTGGGCTCGGGTTCGAATCTGAACATTTTCTATTAATAAAGAGGTAAAGCTTGGCACGGCCCGGCTCATGAAGAGCTCTACTCTAACTTAGAGGGGAGAAACTCAGGTTATCTTGTAAAATAGGGCAGTCAATAGGGTAGGTCTGGGCTGGATCAGGTAGATCCAATCTTAAACCAATAAGAAAGCACACAAACCCGGTCCAACCTGGACTTTGAAGGTTTGTAAGTTTTAAGCCTAGAAAACCCTATTATTACCTGAGTTTATCAGGTCTGACCCGGTAAGAGTTGAATATGCCTGACAAGCCTTTGATATTTTTGACAGAAAAAAATGCTAATTGTTTTGCTCCCTCTCTCTCTCTCTTTCAAAATTTCTTATATATCCCCTAGAAATGATAACTAAACCATGAGAAACATATAGAAAATGTTGGGGAGATATTTATGTCATGTGCTGGTCAGCACGTATAAAACTAGTCCTGACCCTATTGTAAATTTGTAACCTCAACTTAAAATGTAGACCAATAGATAATCAGGAAATTGAACCAGACCCGGGTCGAGAATCGGGCCGGGTGAGGAAAAATAAAAATGAAAGGAGGGACAAATTTAAATGAATTTGTATAAATATTGTTGGCTACAAGCACATGAGGAACCATGTATTTGTCATTTGCTTGAAGTAGGTAACAATAGAGGGATGACTTCAAGTATGTCCTACCAACCACAATCTGCACCAGCTAATCCGGTATTAGAAAACCATTTATTTGGCCAAGTAGAACCTTTCAACCCCAATTGATGGACGTTTAGTAAACCCTAAACCACATATCAGGGACCTGTTATCTCCAATTCACATCAAGATAATGGATCTTTATGAACTGTTTTTATCCTAAATAGGTGCAGAATTAAGCTCAAACATGCCCAGATTATGATATTGTCACTAATAAATAAGAGCCATTGACATTTTTCATTAGCTTGGGACTTGAGAGTGCAGAAGTCTCCATGAATATTGTTTGTTTGTTGGTCAGATGGATTTAGGCACATTAGCCTCCACTCTTGTCTATGCCTTTCTGTTTGGCACAATCGTTTGCCTGAGGCTATGGCTGATGAAGTCATTGCAGAGCAAGGGAAGGCTGCCTCCAGGCCCACCAAGATGGCCTATCTTTGGCAACCTTCTTCAATTGGGCCCCCTCCCACACAGGGACTTTGCTTCCTTCTGTGAGAAGTATGGGCCGTTGGTCTATCTTCGACTTGGGAGTGTTGATGCTATCACCACGAATGACCCCGAGATCATCCGTGAAATACTTCTCCGACAGGATGAAGTATTTGCTTCTCGACCTCGAACCTTAGCTGCAGTACACCTAGCTTATGGATGTGGTGATGTAGCATTGGCTCCATTAGGGCCACAGTGGAAGAGAATGAGGAGAATATGCATGGAGCACCTACTGAGCATCAAGCGGCTCGAGTCATTTGCGGACCATCGTGCTCGCGAAGCTCACCATCTCGTTCAAGACGTATATGATCGGTCTCAAACCGGGAAGCCTGTTAACTTGAGACAAGTCTTGGGAGCCTTTTCCATGAACAATGTGACAAGAATGTTGCTAGGGAAGCAATATTTTGGCATTGAGTCAGCCGGTCCTCAGGAAGCAATGGAGTTCATGCATATCACTCATGAACTGTTTTGGCTTCTAGGGTTGATTTACTTGGGTGATTACTTGCCCATATGGAGGTGGCTTGACCCTTTTGGGTGTGAGAAGAAGATGAGGGAAGTGGAGAAGAGAGTGGATGAGTTTCATATGAAAATAATTGAAGAACATAGGAAAGGGAGAGAGAGGAAGAAGGAGAAGAAAGGAGAGGATGATGACAGGGAGATGGACTTTGTTGATATCTTGTTGTCTTTGCCTGGTGAACAAGGGAAGGAGCACTTGGAAGATGCAGAGATTAAAGCTCTAATTCAGGTAAGACTCTCACAAAACAAGCTATCACTATTTCTTCTTCTTTTATTGTCTCTGGTTTGTTCACATTGTACAAAATTATGTACTGTCTATGAGGCCCATTTCAACTGGCAATTGGGCTGTTTGGTCCATTATGGCCCATTAGGTAATTAATGAAGGGGAATCTATGTAGTGACTGCACCCTAGTTAAATTTGTAGGACATGATAGCAGCTGCTACAGATACATCTTCAGTAACAAATGAATGGGCCATGGCAGAGGTGATCAAGCATCCAGAAGTCCTTGGCAAGGTCCAGGAAGAACTAGACTCTGTTGTCGGCCCAAATCGCATGGTTTCTGAGTCTGATCTGGCCCATCTCAACTACTTGAGGTGCATTGTTCGTGAAACCTTCCGAATGCACCCAGCTGGGCCCTTTCTCATTCCACATGAATCAATTCGTCCCACAAAGATCAATGGCTATGACATTCCTGCCAAGACTCGAGTCTTCATCAACACTCATGCTCTTGGACGGAACACCCGAATTTGGAATGATATCGACGAATTCCGACCGGAAAGGCATTTGCCGGCAGATGGAAGCCGAGTCGAGATAAGTCATGGAACTGACTTCAAGATTTTGCCATTCAGTGCTGGCAAGAGGAAGTGCCCTGGTGCACCACTGGGGCTCACCTTCGTCCTCATGTCTCTGGCCAGGCTATTCCATTGCTTCGACTGGATTCCGCCGGAGGGATTGAAACCAGAAGACATTGATACAACTGAAGTGTATGGGATGACCATGCCCAAGGCCAAGCCCTTGATGGCTATAGCCAGCCCACGCTTGGCAAAAGAAATGTATTGCTGACTGCTGAGTGAATAATCTTGATTGCAGTACGTAGCCAACTAATGGCTGGCTAGTTGGAGAAGCTTTGTTTGAATAAAATAACTTTAGGTATTGTTAGTTTGTTGTTTAGCTTTTTGCTTTTTGGGAACTTCATGGAATCCAAACAAAGCCTTATGGTATATTTTCAAGAATTGAATCTATGAAGTTATGCATAGAAAATTGAAACTATATTGGGCTTGGTTTAGTTCTCTGGCCCATAATTTAAAATTGAAAAAATTCTCAACCCAACCCAAAAGGTTTAATTTGTCTGTCATGGGCTTCTTCCTTCAAATTTCAAAGGCCTAGCTAGGCCTCCCACTTAGAGGCTAGATACTAAATTTTAATTCAAAATAAAAAATATATATATATTAGGAAATAAYTCATGCTTTTTAATTACAAATCAAATATCATTTAATCTTCTTATTCAAGTAAATGGAATTTTTATCTGCTGACCCAAGCATCCATATTTTACCCCGTTAGTTAAGCGAGAGATCGGCTCCGATCAGGTCAGGGCAAACCTGTGTCCCCACCCTTCTAACACCCTTTTACAACCTTGCATTGAGAATATCTCCCCATCAAATAAAAGCACGCAAATAGAGAGATATTCTCAATGCAAGGCAATAAAGGCTGCTAGTTAGAATGTTGATTTAATTGAGTTACTTAAGACGATGCTTCTAACCTTATCCTTATCCTTACTTAAGCCGCGTAATTATAGATGGCTTCCGGTGCAAGGCGCAATTAAGCCGTGTAAAAGAGTGTTGAAGCCTGCTATATATATATATATACGATCTCTTCTTGCTGATCAGATCATCGTCTCAAGGCTAACTGCCAAAGCAACCGCAACCGACAGTTAGATAATTTACCAGTCTTCAGTAGTCTCTCTCCGGTACGTACTTGTTCCGATTTGCTTTCTGTCACCTCCTCCGGATCCGGCAATGGTCACCATGGTTGCACCGGCGGTGCGATGTGCCCTAGACGCTGCGGAAGAAAGGTTCAAGGCCCAGGACGTAGAAGGCGCGATCAAGCACGCCAACGCTGCCAAACAGCTTCATCCCCATTCGGAGGGCATCGATCAGTTGCTCGCTGCTTACAGCGTCCATCTGGTTGCTACAAAGAAGAGGAAAAGGAACGGCGACATGGATTGGTACGCGCTTCTCAACATCGCCGATGCTGCATCTGCGGACACCGAGACCATCAAGAGGCAATACAAGAGGATGTCTCTCATGGTTCACCCCGACAAGAATAGCTCCGTTGCTGCTGAGGGCGCCTTCAAGCTTATCTCTGAAGCGTGGAGCGTCTTGTCCCAACCCACCAAGAGGCGCAAGTATGATATTCGATCGGGTACCTACGCCCATGCACGTTCAACTCCATCTGCCGCTGCTCGACCTGCAGCGGCTGAGGCATCTGGTTCTAGTTTTCCGACGACGACGACAACGACGAGTGCAGCTTCCACGGCAGAGATCAAGCCGTGCCCTTGTTGCGGTAAGCCAGTGAGTCATGTAAAGGCCAACAACGGGTTCTTCTCTATTGTGTGCCGGGATTGTGGTTTTATTTTCAAGTACGTGAGTCCAGAATTCTACCAGTTGAGTACCAAGCGCAAGCCCGTGACCTTCTCTTACACCACGGATGAAGGAAAAGAGATCGAGATTAGAGCTTTCTGATGATACTTGGATGTTCACTCTTTCATTTTTTCTTCCCTTCATAAAATTTACTCTGTTGATCATCATTTTCTCAAAAACAAATAAACGATTATATTATGTCAATGCTCAAGCTTTCATCTTATCAGTTTAGGGTCTATATATTTGCTAGAATTTTTGGTACTAGGTTTGTATATGTTTGACTGTGATTGTTTTTACTGATTGATTAATTTGTTTATTTTTATCAGTGCATTTATGTAGGCTGTGTTTGGTTTTTGAAGGAAAGAATAGGGAAAAGGAAAGGAAAGGTAGGGAAACCATTACAAACCTTGTATGGGTTTCCCTACCTTTCCTCACATTTTCCTTCAAACCAATTAAACATAGCCGTAAGGTGTGAATTTGCAATGCACTATTAATTCGGACTGGAAATGCCATCAAACGAAGCCTCTACCTTAGGCTTTGTTTGTTTTTAATTTGCAAGAAAGGGTAGGGAAAGATCTGATTCTAATTAAGGCTCTATTTATTTGTACAAATTAATGGGCTGAGTGCAAATTTTAGATTGCTTTTCTTTCAGGTTTTACTTTATTTTGTTTGTTTGGGAGGAGTAAAATTGGAAGTAAAACAAGGTGCTTCAGATTCATTGCTCCTTTTACATGAGACAGTAGTATGAAGTTAGTGGAAAGTGGTGTAAATTTTGCATCAGCTAGGGATCTAAACCGTTGGTTCCATTTGTTCGTAGTGCAAATCTAAACCAGATATGAAAAATGTGCATCCATCTCAGATTTGCATGCGTTTATCTTTTACTATGACTTGCACCCACAAAATTTTGCGTCACTAATTTTACATCCTAAAATGATGCGAAATTAATATTGCATCCTAAGTGATGCAAAATTTGCACCACCTTCTTACTTCTATCATATAAAATGGAGACCAAATTGTTTTACTTCCCACTTTACTCCTACCACATAAACAACGTTCTTTTTTATCAAAAAAGAAAAAAAAAAACTTTATTTTAGTGGGAAAACATCATTATACTTCTCGCAAACAAATAAAACAAAATAGAACTTCAAACAGAACTAAACCAGACTTTGCATTTAACTCATTTGCACTCCCATCCATTTGAACCAGTGCAACTTTTGCTCTCAAACAAATAGAGACAATATGTTATAAAGAAATCCATACAAATCTGATCACCATGGCACATTGTATATTATAACTGCAAACCAACAGAGTCTAACTAATAAGAGGCCCTTGTCTTGTTATATCCAAACGACTAAAGGAGTCGTGTAGATCTCCTTTGAGGGCAGATTCTCCAAATTTAGAGAGACGTAGAGAGATAAATTGGACAAATCAAACTGTTGAAAAACCAAGGTCCTATTGAGTTCATCGTGCATCAAATAAAAAATAAATATAAAAAAAAAACAGATTGTTTCTCAAAATAAATATTAAAAAGAACACATAAAATAGATTGTTTCTCAAAATAAATATTGAAAAAAAAACACGTTCTTGATTATGTATGTGTTATTTGTGTTGAAAATTGGAACAAAAAATCTGGTTAATTAATATTATTATCCATAAACGGAATAATTTCTAGGGGAAATTCCTGATCGGTACCCTGAACTCTAGGGGTTGTATCAAGTCAGTCCCTGAACTTCAAAACAAGGTTTTAAAAATTGATCTAAAAACGGAACCGTTTTAGCTACCGGTTTTTAGGCCAACGGTTCGACCGTCCGGGTCGAACTGTTCGGATGGTTCATATTAGGAAAGGCCAAATAGTATATGAGTCATGAGAAATAGAGAAAGGAGGACTAGAGGAGTGGAGAAGAGTATTTTGTTGGCTGAGAAAGAAGAGAAGAAGGAAAGAAAGAAAGGAGAAAGGAAAAGAAGCGAAAGAAAAGGAAGGAAAGAAAAGGGAAGGAGGGAAGAAGAAGGAAGAGGAGGAGAATGATTCGACACTCACTGGTGACAGCAACAATGAGATGGCGACGGCGACGGCGATAACACAACGCAGATGACAGATCTCATACGAGTTCTCAGATCTTAGATCTGAGATTGATTTTTCATTTTTTTCTCAGATCTATATCTTCTTCTTCTTCTTCTTCTTCTTCCTAGATATCAGATCTGAGTTCGTGTCTCAGATCTGCAATTTCTCAAACCGCGAACCGCTATCCAGGTCAAACGAATTGACGATTCAACCGCCTGGGTCAGCGGTTTTTTGACTAAGTCAACGGTTTTTTACCCAAGAACGGGTCAGGGGTGAAACGGAACCGGTTGCTTGAACGGTTTCCGGGCCAAATGGTCCAACCATCCGAGTCAACGGCGGTTCAAAAACATTGCTTCAAAATGTGTCTATACAGTACCCTGAACTTTCATAAAATGTGTTTAATAGGTCCCTATCGTTAACAATCTGTTAGTTTTCTGTATCACGTGATGACATGTGCCACTTAAAACTTTTAAAATATCAAAACTACCCTTGAAAGAAGAGACTGTTCATTGTCTTCTACCCCAAACTTTTAAAATGTCTCTAATAGGCATGGTTTTTAAAACCGACCCAGAGACCGAACCGGTCAGGGGTTTGGTTACCAGGTCAAATGGTTGGTCCGTTCTAACAAAAAAATTAAACAAATTAAGAAAATAAAAAAAATGGTCAAAAACGTTCTAATGGTTAACCGCCCGGGTCAGCAGTTTGCTAACCAAAATCAATGATTTTTTTGAGAAATCCCGGTTTTGAGGAAAAACGAAACCGGTCACCTGACCAATTCCCAATTTTTTCAGTCCGACCATCCAATCCGGTCTAGTTTTGGAAACCATGCTAATAGGTCCTTGTTGTTAATAGTTTGTCAGTTCTTTGTATCACGTGATAACATGTGCCAATTAAAACTTTTAAAATATCAAAACTACCTTGAAAGAAGACGCTGTTCATTGTCTTCTACCTTGAGACTGAAGAGCTGCTCCATTGCTACGATGATGCTGGGAACTAATGATAGTGCCAAGAACAGATTTGAACAAACCAACAACGGTACCGGGAACTAACCAAGTTTCAGCAACGGCTGAAACTGCCATTGCTATGGTTTCCTGTATATTCTAAAATCCATCTTGTATATAATTGCTACAACCTCCCTATCTCAACTAGGATGCAAGGGGAAATTATATCAATTTTAGCATTTACAAAGGAAAGGTTATGTTGATTGTTAATGTTGCATCACAATGGTATAACCTAGTTTCTCCCTTGTTAATTTCAGAATTTATTGTTTGGATTTGACTTCATTAACCACATATTCATTGTCGGTAACCAGTAACCTATCATTTCACAAGTCGGAAAACAAGATTGCTTGGAATCAATAG